GTACCTCTGGTTTGAAAAGCTTGTTAAAACAGCACTGATTTCATGCTGTTAATTTCCGCTACAGTACAGTAACTTTGGAATAGGCTCAAAGTAGTTCAGTTTACATTTTCTATAAAACAATGACAGTTTCACTGGACTATGTGTGTGTGTGTGTGTGTGTGGCATAGAGGAGAAACAATAATGTACAGTATGTGGAAAATAATGTGTTTTTTAAACCTTAAACTGCATAAACACATTTCATTACACCAAATACACAAAATAATGTTCTTTATAGCAACATCATATGACCCCTTTAAAACATTTTAATCAATTTCTCATAAAAATTCTTCTCGTGTCATGTTGCTTTAAGTAAGTGTATCTGTGTTTGCACTGGATAACAAAACAAACATACTAATAAAGTATATCACTTTTTGCAGCGTGAACAGGCTTAGTTAAAGTAATGGGGATCTGTTCATACTTTGAATTGTTGCTAATACAAGACATTTACTATTAGAGACCATATTAACGTATTGTTCCATTCAATTTATTCCTAAGATATCTTTACTTGGTTTTAAAAGGGATTAAATTGACCTTCATGAAACCTGCAGAAATCCTGTCAAATGTTGTCTCTGTGTCTAAGTGTTGCTTTAAGAGTGTGTGGGAGTTTTTCCATAAAATTTCCATGTTCGACATTGGCTGAAGAATCAGCTCAAAGCGGCTGAAGGTCTGGATGTTTGGCGTGTCAGATGTGGGCGGGCTGAGAGTGCAAATGTCTCGCCCAGTGGGAGGATCAGCTCCGTGTGATGTGCTTCATGGGAAAAACTGCAGTAACACCACAGACAGACTTTACACACTGTGCACAGGGCCAGATCAGCTGGACTCTTCAACACCACGGTAAGATCTCAACTATTTACTGTAAAATAGGAAAAGTGCAGAATTCTTCAGTTTTACAAGCTGAATAATAATATTATGTTTTTAATAACATCTATAGGGAATTGTTATTGTTTCCTTGTTATTGTTTCCTGATCTATTAGTTTCAGTGGAAACCCTGAGATGTGTTTGGTGCATTTGATGTATTTACAGATGATCAAGTTCAATTTATTTATTTCATGTTCATTTTTTATGTTCATTTTATTTATTTAATCATTTAGTTACTTTTTTTTTTTCATTTTGTATATTTTAATTTTGATTCATAGTCCGGAATACAGGCAGTTCTCACACACACATACCATATCGCTCTCTATTTCTCACCAATATTAAAATGGAATTTGCCCACACTTCTATGTCCCTAGTGTCTTTTCTCATTCCCAGATTTCCTCTCCAGTACTTACAAACAGCACTGTGATACCAATCATACCATTGTATATTTAAATACACCATATTAAATGATTACCAAATTAAAGTGCAATGTACTTTCTATCCTAAAACAATCCTACACCCAGCTCTACACTGCTAAATGTGGACAATAAGAAATTATAAAGTTGCTTTAAAACAATGTGAAAAAAACTTGACTAAAATACCACTACGCTTACTATGGTATTCCCATCTGATATCATCAATGTACTACCACAGTACCTTTTTAAGAGTAACATGTCTTAAATTAATACTTATATGTAAATATAACTTGTTTTGCACCACTGTTGACCTTGATATTCCCTTGAAAGAACAAAGAGTGAGGATCAGATCCGTTAATCAGCTTTAGTGTTTGAAAATATTGGTCTTTGAGACTCAATCCACCAAAATAGTGACTGCTCTGAAACTGTAGTTGACCTGAAGGGAATTGTGGCACTCATTGCTGGTGCACATAAATTTGAGGGATGCAGTTTTGTGGACACTCACTGTTTCTGAGTAAGATTCATGGAGCCACAGTTGTCGAAATGATGAATAGAAGAGCACTTTCCACTACGGGCAGGATTTATAGACCTTACCGTAACTTCAACCACTGGATCTGCATTGATTAATGAGGTTTTGGAAATTATTTAGCTGTCCCTCTCCTGAGTGTTAATAAATTAGTTGCACTGTCTTGCAGATGAATGCTACAAGAACTATCCAGGAACTCAGTGACGGACTCTAGGAGTGAAAGACATTACAGATCCTTATGAAGTCTTTTTGAAGGTTGTAATTTATTAGGCTCAAAGTATAAACTATAGCAAGCCTAATTTTTCTGCTTTTAGTTTTGGTAGGCATAGTCCACCCAAAATGAAAATTCTTGTATCATTTACTCACCCCCATATCATTCTAAACCTGTAGGACTAACTTTCTTCTGCAAGACATAATAGAAAATATTTTGAAGAATACTGGTAATGAAACAGTTTTGATTCCCATTGTTTCCCATTGTAGTTTTTTGTCCAATTAAAAGTTAGTGTTTTGTCATCCAACATTCTTCAAAATATCTTCTTCTAAGACTTAGTTTCTACTGCAGAACACACACAAAAAAGATATTTTGAACAATTCTGGTACCCAAACACTTTTGGTTCCCATTGACTTCCATTATATGGACCAAAATACAATGTAAGTCAGTGGGAACCAAAACTGTATGGTTACCAACTTTCTTCAAAATATCTTCTTTTATGTTCTGCAGTAGAAAGTAAGTCTTAAAAGAAGATATTTTGAAGAATGTTGGTAACCAAACAGTTTTAGTTCCCACTGACTTATATGAACAAAAATATAATGGATGTCAATGGGAACCAAAATTGTTTGGTTATCAACATTCTTAAAAATATTTTAAGGTTTGGAACGACATGAGTAAATGATGAGAGGATTTTAATTTTTAGGAGGTCTATCTATTGAATGTTATACGTATTTTAACAGACATAAACATATTTTAAGAATTAAGACTAAAACCCACACTTTTTTAAATTCTTATAATTTTCTATCTTTTCTTATTGGGTGCACAATCAAATATGCATAAAAGTCTTCCATTGGGAATACTTTGATATCCAAGGGGAAATTATTTTTTATTGGCACAATCATTTGAAGGTTCAGAGTCCAGAGGTACAGTATGTCATCACTGCCACAGTAACTCATTAATTATTACTATGGGACCACATGCTTGCAAACAACATTTGCGTAGAATATGTGTTTGACCTTATTTTTGTACTGCTACATACTGCAACGCTAACTTTGCCGCCTTTTTAAAGAGTCGCCTTATTTGGTTTCGTTGTAATGGCAGACATGGATGGAACATGGCATTATGGGAAGGCGCCAGTGAGGTAAACATGATGCTTGTTTATAGAGCAGGGTAAATATGGCTTGTAAAAGAGTAATTAAGACTAACATCGGCATTCATTCTTTATCCGCAAGCCAACTGCGGTGTCCGCACTCGCACGCTTCAGTTTTTCCACCATCTAAGTCTATGTTGTCACCAGTGACTTCCAGGTGTACAATGAGTTTGGCACCAAACCGAATAGCTTCCACTCTTATCCAGCAAGGATGGGTGTAAATGGAGGTGGGGGGCTGTGACCACATAATGTTTTTGGTTGGCCCAAAAAATGGCTTGTCTTTCTCCATGAGTAACTGGCAGAAATGTTGGTCTTCAAAGAACTTCATCTGGTTTTTCTCTGCCTGGAGAGTGGAATGTGCCATTTTTAGGCAGAAAAATGCCTTTGTTTGCCCTTTTTGAAGCCATCAAATTCTTCCCGACCATGGCCCTGACCACATTGGCATTCCCACAGGGTGGTACAGGGCCCAGAGACAATAGCTGGAGACATGCCAGTGAGGCTCACAGACACACACTGTATTATAAAAAATGAGCTCTTCAGACAACTTTTAGAAAATCAAGGCAACTATGTATATGACTTTTTTTTTGTTGAATTTGTCTACTTAAATATTTTAATTAAATATATTCAGTTAAAGGGGTGCTATTATGCTTTTTCCCTTTTTCAACTTTAGCTAGTCTGTAATGTTGCTGTTTGAGCATAAAAACTTAAACTTCATGATGTGTTCTGGTTATTTTGACTCACAGAGGATTTTCTTTTTCCCCCGAAAATTCTACTTCATGGTATTGTTTAGGACTAAAACTTACTGACTTTGCTCACACAGGGTATAACAACAAATGTACTTTTTGGATTTTTTTTCCCATCCTAAAATCGCTACTTTCTTCTTTTCTTTCAGTTAGTACAGGTTTTGCATTTGTTTTTGAAATTGATTGCTCGTAGGCCTCATTGATCTGAGCTTATGCACCAAAGACTGAATCCGTTTGGTGATAATGTACAATAATGAGAGATTTACGATTTAAGAGCAATTTAAGAGGCTGGTCATTTTTGACTAGGAACACCAAATTAGGTAATGGATTTTCAGCACAGCCACAAGGGTTAAAATGTTAGCGTAGCTTAATTTAAATGTTGCCATAATTGGAGTGTTTTTGCTACAGCAAATTCATGTGGTATCTCTTTCTCATGTGGTATCTATCTGCTTTTTGGTAATCTTTTTGTCATTTTGTTTCATTTGAAAATATTTCATTTTGTTTCAATGAAAGAGTTAGAACAATATGATGCCACCGCAGTTTAAACTAGATTTCAATGTGAGTGATAATTGCCCATAAGAAGCTCGAAAAGTATCGAATTGTTCTCTTAATGTTGAAGCATTTGTGAAATTATTTAGTTTGTAGTGTGAAAATCTTTTGAATCCTCATGTAAGTATGAAAAACAATATATTTGTTTTATATTTCCAATATATTTAGCACATGGTTGTGTTACCAGTCAAATGTAGTGATGCTGAATGAGGTTTAGTGTCTAAGATCAGTGTAGATGTAAGAGAAAACTTTTTGAGGAATGCTTTCAGAATGCATGCAAGACTGGATAAGGAAAGCAATGCATTCCCTTCTCCTCACATAATAAACCTGTCAGGCATTTAAATATGTTTAATAAGCATCATATGATGGTTGTGTTGTTTGCTAAACAGCAGAAGTTGGCTCTAACATGTCCCATGGCAGGAAGACGCATTGTTCTTAAGAGTAAACAACCCTACCAAGATCTCTACCAAGATATTAGACTCAGAATTAAAAGTCTTTACGTACCCCAAATTGGTATTTATTCTCCAGACTGGAATTTACACTTTATCCTGCACAAGTTTTGCTTTAATTACAGTTTGCTTCATTTCCCAGAATTCTTCGTTTTTATGTTATTCATTCCAAATCTTTCTCAAATTCCCAGTCGGACTTTTTCAGCTATGAAATTTGTCCGAAATATGGGAATTAATAGCTATACTAACTCTTTAACTGTGGTATTTTTTACTATTTTATTAAGAAATGAAAAACATTTTTTTATAGTTTGCTCAATTACATAGAATTCTTAGTTTTGCCGTTCTCACTTTTCCTGCTGTATATTCTAATAAAATGAGTTCTTCTCATTTTATTCCCAAACCTACACACTCACAGACTGAACATCTGTCAGAAATATGGGAAATGCTAAGTTTAACTACAAGTTTACACGCAAGTGGACATTAATAAGCAATTTTGTGGTACTCTAAATCTGGGCAAAATTTAAAATCCACAAACAACACATTTTAATGTGTGGATGGATTCGTTTAGAATGACTTTATTGACATTTGGCCCGCAGGTGTTCAATAGCAATAATTTCTTTGGCACATAGACCTCAGGAAACAAATAACTAGAGCGCACACACACACTTAACCAGCTGGTTAATTTTCCACACACTAAACAGGTGCTTGCAGTTGCTGAACAACATGTACTATGTGCTTCAATAAGTGTGAGTGATTTTGTGTAAAATTAAGGATTTATTATAGTTTCTTCTCATAACACATGGTGCACTGAATAAGCTAGACTTCGGTACATTGAATACCTGTGGAAACCACATTCAAAGAAAGTTTTTGTTGTTCTAATGTTCGGTTTTACAGACCATTTAGCAGCGTGTTTCTTTGGAGACCTGTGGCTTTGGAAATATATGAGGTGGAACCAGAACAGAGACGCCTTTCCTGGATTTGCCATTGCATGGGGTCTTTGGAAGTCTGTACTGTTTTTGGATGGGCGGCATCACGAATCTAAGATCGTCTTGTTGATAAAGTGTGTGCATGTGGATCGGAAAATATTACTTGTTATGCAAAGTCGTTAATCTGCACCTTGTGGAGGCAGGTTTAATCATGTGGGAAGGCTGTGGAATTTATTTGATTAGTTTTTCACCGATGTTCTGTGTTAGATGGCAGGCTTAGGTAATGGAAAAAGTTATGTAGCATTATTTGGAATGAAATCAGGTTTGATCTTTAGTGGATAAGGTAGATAAAAAAGAAAAAGAGGATAAATTTAGATTAAAATGTGATTAAAAACAAGTTTTTGTTGATTGAACATTAGTATATGCCGTTTGGTTTGAAATGCTGTTAAAATCAGATTTTTATTAATGCGTGTCAGTCTGAATGATGAGATCTGATTTCATGTGGAATTTTTTTTATTTTATTTTTTTTAACTGTTTGACTGGTTGCAATCAGTTCATATTTAATTAATCATAATTAAGAAAAAGTAGAGTAAAAACTGTCAAAGTGATTTTCAAACGGTTTTTAGTTGCAGCACTATATATAAGAGTCTATAAACTTTTTAAAAATGAGGTCTGTTAAAAAAGTTTTTTCCATTCAGTCATATTGTGACAGGTAGTACTATGGCTTGGCTCAGACGCTCAGACACTCTTTTGTGAGATGCTGTCTGTTAAAATTTGACATGTCTAACATAGCTAGACACACAGACTCAGACAGTGTAGTGGGAAAGTGTCACCTATGATCTGAGAACTGGGCTACTTGGAATGATTCCCACATTCCCTTCATCTTTCTGCGTACACTATACATTCCACAACACTTACTCATTAGTCTCTCTTCCTTCAGTATGTGTGAGAATTATTTATTATTTTTTTATGGATGAGTTGGACCAGACAGAGGACTGATTTGTGAATTTTTATTTTATTTTATTTTATTTTATTTTATTTTATTTTATTTTTGTTTTGTTTTGTATGAGCCAGTTAGTGATAGTGAACTGCTTTAAGTGTGCAGTTTTTAATTTAATTTATTTTATTTTATTTTTTTATTTTATTTTATGATGTAAGAGTTGGACCAGTTAGTGAACTGCATTAAGTGTGCATTTTATTGAATTTAACTGAAATGAATTGAATTGAATCGAATTGAATTGAAGTTGAATTAAATTTAACTGAATTTAACTGAACCGATTTGGACCAGATAGTGAACTGCCTTAAGTATGCATCTGTACTTTATTTTATTTGTTTTTATGGATCAGTTAGACCAGACAGTGAACTACTTTAAGAATGCGTCTAAATTCAATTCATTTCATTTCATTGATGAGCTGGACCAGATAGTGAACTGCCTTAAGTGTGCATCCTGTAAACTCCCTCAGTGTTGTGTTTTATTTTTATGTTACTTTATTTTTGTTTTAATATTTGTGGATTTTTATTTTATTTGTTGGACTGGATGTTGGAGCAGAACTGCTTTAAGTGTGCATTTTTATTTTATTTTTTTTATTATGGATGACTTGTACATGTTTTTTTTTTATTATTATTATTTATTTTTTTTTTTTCACAATTTATGAATCAGCTGGACCAGATAGTGAACAACTTTAAGTGTGCGTCATACATGTAAACTCTCCTAGTAGTGTTCGGTATAAGTGGCAGTTATTTTATTTTATTTTACTCAAAGGATGAGTTCAGTAGTTGGTTGGTTGATGTCCAGAGTGAGCAGAGCTGGAATCTAGACAAAGAAGTATTTCTAATATACTATATTTATTATTGTGCCACATGGTTTGTCACTACATGATTCCCATATTTCCATTTGTTATTTTTTGTGTTAGCTGTGCTGTCTTAACTATTGCAAGATGTGGAAAAGAATATGACAGTGTGTCCAAACATTTGACTGGCAAACCTCTCGATCCTCACGAAGGAATGTTCTGTTGTTTATATCAAGAGTCATTCAGTGTCTTGCACTGCACTGCTATCGTCATTTCTCGGCAAAAACAATATGGTTTTGGGGGAATGTGAGCATGATTCATAACTACTTCCAGTTTACAGGGCCGTTCGCTCATTTGGGGGTGAGAACAGGATGTGAAAGAGGGGGAGACCGTGCTATCACTGTCATAAAAGGGAGTTCTGATGTTTTCTTACCCCTGGGGAGTTTTACATCTCATTAGATCCACATGTTCTACAATCAGAACGACTCCCACAAAGAACGCCAGAGCAAAGCAGGAATTACAGTGGGACAAGAGATGCAGGCAGACAAAAACTACACACTTTATGGAGTTCGCCATTTACTTGTTACATTGAATTCATACCGTATGTTTTTAAACATATGGTAAGGGCCATTTAGGTGTTCAACCCTCTTCATTAGGAATTGGTTCCCCCAAAATAATCAAAATAAAAGGTTAAAAGGAATTAAATGAAGAGAAGCAGCTTATCTTGTGATAACGACTGGTTAAATGTACATTATTCTGCTTATTTCACAACTACTATATGAATTTAAACAAACAAAGATAAATAAAGAAATGGACATTATAATGTTCATATCAGTATCATTTATTTAATTATATGAGAATTAAATGAGCACATTGTCAGTATTTGTGTGCCAGAGTTTTAGTACAAAATATTGTGTGCATCTTTATTTAATTTTATTTATTAATGAGTTGGACCAGATAATGAAATGCTTTAAGTGTGCATCTTTTCATTTTATTGTATTTTATTTCATTTTTAATTTTACTTTATTTTTATTTTATTTTATTGTATTTTATTTCATTTAGCGCAATTTTATTTCATTTTTAGAGTTTAGTTTTAAGCATTTTATTTTGTGATTATATCTGGATAAATATTGAAATATTGAAATTGAAATGTTCATTATGTGAGAAAAAAAAATCACTGACATTTTTCTAATGCACTAAATGAGGGTTAAAATCTGACCAGTGCATTTGTTAAATAGTTTTATCCAAATCCCAGGTGATCTTAAACAGAACAGTACATCAATGCATGATTTAGCATGTTGCTAAAAAATAATGCTTGCTTTCATAATTGTTAACTACATGCCTCTACATTGACTTCATCCCACCTTATGTTTTCTCACTGAATTTCCAGTTTTGCTCCGAAATGCATCACATTACAGAAGTTAAATTGGATTGTGAATGGCATTTCAGTTTGTAGAGAGCAGTTAGAGGAGATTTGTTGAGTTTTCAGTGTGGGAATCTGTTTATTCTCACGCTCTGTCCAGGACACACACAGTTATGATCACATATTTACCACACATATAAAATGACCACTTGTTTCCCCACTGGATCCTGATGACTGTCTTATCCATTTAATCAGAGATAGCAGACTAGACTCAGATCCCTAGTGTATCTTTTGGCAGACTCTCTTGCTCTCTGTCTTACTTTCATTCTCTCGACCCACACAGAGTAGGCCTATTTAATTTAAATGTACTCCAGTCATTTAATTAGAAACCTTCAGGCCTACTGTGACGAAAGATTTACCACTGATTACAAATCAAAACAGATTCATCTTTGATTGCAGGCTATATAAATTGCTCTGCATTTCTTTCTGACGTGGAAAGACTCTCTTTAGAACAGCTCACAGCTAATTACTCAATGACAATGTTCTTTAAATCTTGTTTTGCTTTAGGACTAGAGTGCATCTCAATCTGTTGACTGTGCTGTATGAGTCAGAGAGGAGTGGAGCGTCATGTCAGAGCCGTTCAACTGTGACAGCTGTAAGGAGTCTCTGTATGGCAGGAAATACATCCAGGTGGACGACGTTCCCCGCTGCGTCCCCTGTTACGACCGCCTGTACGCAAACACCTGCCAGGAGTGCAAAGAGCTCATCGAACACAACTCACGGGTGAGTGCTTTAGGGAACAGCATCTATGAGACTCATAAAAGTTTTTTTTTTCAGTTACATTATGATAGATAGATAGATAGATAGATAGATAGATAGATAGATAGATAGATAGATGGATGGATGGATGGATAGATGGATAGATAGATAGATAGATAGATAGATAGATAGATAGATAGATAGATAGATAGATAGATAGATAGATAGAAAGATAAAGATAAAAGATAAAATAGATAGATAGATAGATAGATAGATAGATAGATAGAAAGATAAAGATAAAAGATAAAAATTATTAATCAGTTATTTTACCTAAATGATCATATAAAATATTAAAGAATATATTATATATTATTGTACTTTTTAAATTTATAAATGATATATATAAATATACAAATATTTTATTTCATGTTTAGACGCACACGCATACACACACACACACATTTACATTTTTGTAATAATTTATAATAAGAACCTTTGGAGTACGATTTATTTTACCTAGATAATTAACACATTTTATTAAATATATATAATATTACATTAACAAAATGTGTGTTTATGTGTGTATTAATTAATATACAAATATATTTTAATGAATTAATATTTACTCATATTTATTAAAATCTACAAATATTCATTATGTTAATATATACCAATTATTTAACCTATAATTAAGACATATATATTAGGACATACATACTTTTTTTTTTAGAATTTATTTACAGTTTACAATTATATATTTTTACTTTGGAGTACCATGGTGGATGAATTTCAGTACTTAGTTTTCCATAGTACCATAATATTGCCATGTGATACCATCACTGTACTATGGAACCTCCACAGTATATATAATTGGGAAGTCGTGGCCTAATGGTTAGAGAGTCGGACTCGTAACCCAAAGGTTGCGGGTTTGAGTCTCGTACCGGCAGGGATTGTAGGTGGGGGGAGTGAATGTACAGTGCTCTCTTCCACCTTCAATACCACGACTGAGGTGCCCTTGAGCAAGGCACCGAACCCCCAGGCCACAGCAAAAAATGGCTGCCCACTGCTCCGGGTGTGTGTTCACTGTGTGTGTGTTCACTGCTGTGTGTGTGCACTTAGGATGGGTAACCATACTTGGCCACATGTCACGTCACTT